GAACAACAATTTGTGGATCACACAAAGTTTCGTCCCATGTGGGGATCGAACCCACAACACTCAACGTAGTAGTAAGCAGCTTGGTGACCGCTTAAACCACTACGCCATCCGTGCAGTTTTATTGTTTTATCACTTTAAGATTTTTTAATTGTATTGCACAATTTGTGTCGGACTGTGTGTTCCCCGTTTAGACATGCGCGTCGTCATGTACGTAGACTATTCCTGACAAGACAGCTTTCTATTGCCTACGTGCTGTTCATAATAAACTACACGGTTTAGCTTGAACTCTGTCTAACGAGGAAAAAAAGTTAAAAAAATAACTATGTGTTATTTTTACACGTAGAGATGTTTTTCTTAGAGTTCTCTGTATCCTTTGAATTCTTTCTTAGTCCTAGTATACACTATCTGCACTTGAAAACAAACTTGGTCACAATAATTAATAATAACAATAATATTTTCGGACATTAGACACAGAACACCATTTCAAAACGTTTCAAACTAAGCAGAGCTTCTACTATGAAAGCTAGATTGACTGATAGAATACTTGCAGAACCACCCAAACTTCGAAATAAATCCTTGCAGATCATACAAACATATAAATCGAACCCGAGACCTCAGCACAGCCGTTGCATACGCTACCACTGCACGACCATATACTTTGTATACATTATATTATAATAATAATAATAATTTTCTACCACATTCACACAACGCCATCTACTCCCAAGCTAAGCAGATCTTGTGCTATGGCTACTAGGCAACTGATATAAATACATATATACTTTTTTTTGTAAATACATACTTATTCATTATTGTACATAAAAATACCCAGACCAAATCATACATTAAATGTTCAAGCACAGGAATGTTTGACTTGAGCGGGAATCGAACCCGTAACCTTTGGAATAGCAGTCTGAAACACAAACCACTACACCATCCAGTCGTCACTCTTCTCGTCTACTTTCCATACATTATACATACAAAATATTACCATCTATCCAATACAAAATATTACCAATACTACTACCATCCATGGATACCTGCAACTCAAAAGATATAAAGTGCCCCCTCCCCCAGAACTAGGGAGAAGAAGGGGGAGCTATATGGGGCTCTAATAATCTCACTCATTCAGTAAAAAAACAAAGGAACAATTGCTTAACACCGTTTTTCTGTGAAGCCCTGGTATCACACTGATCAAGCCGGCAAGCTGACACTCTCACGGATAAACCAGTATAAGAATGTTTTATATATGACTAGCTGTCGGTTGTCGCGGTTGCCTAGGTTACTCGCTGATAATGCAGCTTTCCATTGGTGAAATATTTTTTTAAATCGGTTAAGTGGTTTAGGCGTTATATAAAGCGAAACAAACAAACTGAGTTTCAAATTTATAAGTAACAGGTACTCTCTAGTCTGTGTATGCAATATACTTAGACGTGTCTAAAATACTTAGAAAGAAATTAATATATATGTATATTTTTAATGAATACCCAATAATGGACTGATGGCGGATATAATATATATTATTATTATTTCAGTTAAGGCAATGGCCCCAATTCCAGTAAGTAAAAATGTTTATTCATATGGGAAACCAACCAAATGGAGGTTTTTTTAAGGCACATAATTGTGGACTCCGTTGAAGTGTGGAAGATTTTATACTAAAATAACAATATTATTGTGTGTTTCATAAAAAAAATCTATTCTTTTTTGTGAATAGACTTAGGTAGTGTTTGATGAAATCTACCTAGACTGTGACAGCTTTTGATAACTATCTGTCACAGTCCCTTTATAGTTCACTCGTGTTCAAGGTCGTGTTATTAATAATTTTATATTGTGATTGTACTACAGAATATCTTCAAATAAAGATATTTTTTCACAAGACTATACAAATATTGAGGGTATTTTTAGAAATATATTTATCAGCAGTCTGGTTACCATAGCACAGGCTCTGTCGAGTTTGGTATCAGACGGCCGTGTAAGAGATGTGTGAAATTATATTATTATAATATGAAGACAAAATTATTGACGGGCCTGTTGGGCTAGTGGTTAGTGACCCTGACTGCTAAACCGGAGGTCGTGGGTTCGATTCCCACCCAGGACAAATATTGTGTGATGAGCACGGTCATTTGTTCTGTGTCTGGGTGTAATTTATCTATAATATGTATCTATTTAAAAATATATAAGTATGTTTATCAGCAGTCTGGTTACCATAGCACAGGCTCTGCCTAGTTTGGGATCAGACGGCCGTGTGTGAGATGAGTGGGGGATATTATTAAAAAAAAAAAAACTGACTGATATCGTGGCTTTCTAATTGTTACAGTTCTGCATAACTTTACTCTCAATTACTATTCAATAATACAAACAAGAAATTGATATATTGGATCGTTAACCAGTCAGAGCCTACACCATGTTCTTTTTCGGATACTTCTTTTATAGAACGTTTACATCTTCTTTTAGAGATCTCGTAGCGGTTGAATATTTTGTTTTATTTCATGACCAGTATAACTTAAACTGCCATTCTATAGATTATTGTACCATGACAGGTGTTTTCATATTATGGTCTCAATAATATGAAAACACCTGTCATGGTACAGAAATCTTTAGTTTGTTATTAGTTTTTACTCAAATTTGATCTTTACAGAAAATGTTTTAAACTTCTAAAGTAGGAGAGCCATGCTTCTGCACGAATGGTCCGGCTCGACCGGAGTGATACCACGGCCTCACCGAAAACCGGTGTTAAGTATTTCTTTCGTTGCCCTTTACTGAGTGAGGTTACCGGAGCCCAAATCCCCCCTCCAGCTGACTTGAGCGGGAGGGACTCCATGGCAGCAACGCACCTGTGGCTTTTGAGATGCAGGTGTCCATGGGCGGCGGTTGTTGCTTACCATCAGGTGACCCGTCTGTTCGTTTGCCCCCTTATACCATAAAAATAAACACTTGTCTTTATCTTTCTTGTAATCCTTTGTCTTTCTAGTAATTGCTCTTCCAGAAGTAGAAAAAGATAATTAAAAGCAAACACATCTTGTCCAAAATATTTTTATATTATTCTTCTCTTTTAATAAATACTCTAATTCACATATCTACTTATTTCTCTATCTTTTATCTATCCCGTTTTACTTTACAAATTTAGAATATTTAATAAAGAAAAGATAAACTATTTTACTCACGTGCGTATTTCGGGGATGCCCCGCTGCTTTCGGACCGGAGGGGCTTTTTTGACAAGCTTTTTTCACTAGCAATGTAGGTATGTGTTCGGAACGCATCTTGGAAGCTAAATTAAAAACACTTCCAGATATCCAATCGGTCTCTAATTTCGTATAAATGTGTAACTTCAGGGAAGGTACAATAATATAGTACCATGGAGCTATTCTGATGATGGAGTCAGAAGACGGCCATAGAAACTCGATGGGTTTATCTTGTTTGGTTAAGAACCAAACAAGATAAACCCATCGAGTTTAGGTTCATTTGTTTATCTTGATAGGTGCTTTGGTGCTACATGATATCCAGGATTTGATAAAGGAGTTGGAAATAAAAGCTTGTATTAAAGAAAAAAACTATTTTTTTTAACGTTCTGTCGAGTGGAACGTCCTCTTTCTTTATTAACGTGGTGGAAAATCCTCATGGATGTCCTTCACCTACTGGTCGGAGGGGAGCAAGGGTGTGTCGGACTCATACCGACTAAAAACCACTCCAGTGTTCCTCTGCTTGCCAATGGCCTTCGGAGCGAGGAGTGAAACGTCCTGCCACAACAGAGTAACGCCAAAAAAAGTCGGGCATCTCCGAAATATACACGTGACTATAAATACCACTCACACGAGATTTTACTCTCATTGTAGAAAACCACGCACACATTTCTGTAGACCGACATAGGTTTATGTCGATATATATGTATTTGTTTTATTTACATAACTTTACATGAAACATATCAAAACGCGTGGTTTAAATTTATTTTATTATTTAGTTGACTTAATATCCTAAGTCCCCAAGATGGGGCAGATGGCGTCCACAGTAGTCCTCTATCACGTTCGATCCATTTTATTTTTACATTCGATAATTTCAAAATTAAACTTCGATTTGAAAAACCGTCGTGATTTTGAAATAGATGGCAAACACTTTTTTGTACACAATTCTTTTAAGTTTTATCATACATAAAAATGTAAAACATGTAATGTATAAAGTAGGGCCTTACTAGTTGTAGCCTAACACCGCAAAATAAAAAAATAAGGAAGTAAAAGTCGCTTAGAAGGTGTTTTCTCTTTGAAATAAAATGTACTGATTTCAAAATTCTAATATTTCATAATATATCTGTGTGCTTATTTACATTTCATAAAAAAATTGAAAAAAATAATTTAAAACAGTAAAGATACCGCGTTGACAATCAATTTCAATTCATTTCAGTTTCATTTCAATTCAACAATTTTGAAACTGTTTAAGTTCAATTCAATTTAAAAAGTTGTTGAAACTTCAAATGAAATTAAAATATTTCATTTCATATTAGTGTAATATATATGATATTTGTTAAGTGCTTTGTTATTTAAAGTTTTTGCCATCAAATGGTGTCTTTACGATTTCTATTGCTTAGTGTTAAGTTATATACAGGTGTTTTATGGGAACCTTTAAAAAATAAAATAAAAACGATATATATTTTAAATTTACCTAGTTGGATCCTTAATATTACTATTAAGTAAATACTTTTAAATATATATCGAGATATCTTTTATTTATCTAAAGCTATAGTGAAATTGCCAATAATTCTGAGTTTTTGATGAAACTAAAATCACTAGCCAGGAACTCCTAAATATATATTCGTAAATATTATTTTCATTTACTTCACTTCGGGGAAATCACAATTTCCCCTAATTTGTCACACAAATTGCAACTTCAACTTTTAATAATTAGCTAATTTTAAACTATTTAATTTTATAATACATTTTAAATTCTTAACAACTAAATTATTAAATAACTTAACATAATTATTATTAATTAAAAAAAATATCACAGCATCACAGATTTTCTATAATCCCAATAATGGCAAACGTCACGCCTGACACCATAGCTACGATGGAAAATACTCCTATAAGGATATTCTTGAGCACCGTGAAGGAGCAGAGGCTTATATCCTTATTCCACCTGTACACGGTTTCAACGACCACTGGAAGGAGCAGCCCCATAATGGAAAGACAGATAGCTCCAACCAACTCCAAGAAGAGTTCCAGTCTTGGGATAGCGCAGGCTATACCCACTGTAAAAAAAGATAATATAAATAATTAAATAAGGAATAAAAACATTATATACTTACTATCTACTGTTATTAAAATATCTATGTATTTAATATAATTTTCGAAAGCGCCTGTCGTTCGTTTAATAGCAATGTACCCTTAGGCGTGAAAATAGAAATGTCTGTAAAATGTAAAGATTTGTTATATTAACGTGCTTCTATTTATCTTTAATATATTCTAGTACAACACTTGTATAAGGAATTGTTTTGATAGTAATAATGCAGTTAATATTTACTTCTAATGAGCAAGATGGTTTATTCTGGATCTAGGTGGAATTTATCTATAAAATGTACGTATTTACTAGTATGTTTATCTGCAGTCTGGTTAACATAGTACTGTATCGTTAAATATATATTTAACTAGCTGACCCGCGCAACTTCGTCTGCGTCTCTCGATAGTAATAAATTTTCTCCGTTTTTGAAACATTCTTCATTGGTGCTCCGCTCCTATTGGTCTTAGCGTGATGATATATAGCTATCTAACACTGAAAGAATTTTTCAAATCGGACCAGTAGTTCCTGAGATTAGCGCGTTCAAACAAACAAACAAACAAACAAACTCTTCAGCTTTATAATATTAGTATAGATTGAAACACTTAGAAACAATATACATTTCAAACTCGCGACCAGTGAGATTAGCACACAAAACAATGTATTAATTTTTTCACTTTTGTGAGAAAACCCCAGTTTCACTAATTTTCTGTAAAAACTAAACAGACCTCTCCGTTCTCAGTTGTCTAACCTTTTACCATATTTTTTTTGGAGACGACCCAATATAAATGTTTTACTACTTACCCTCTCCCTATAGAAGAAGTTATATTATATAGAAGATAAGCCATATCATCTTTCACATTGTTTATTGGACTATTTATTTAAATGGTCGCCCTCTAGAACGGTCAGAACTTTTACAATTTTTTCAATAAGACAGTTTCCAGGTGTACGTACCTAACACTATCGTTCCCACCAGTCTGAGCCCAGCGATGGACCAAGTATGATTACTCGATGGGATACGGTGGTATAACTTCCTCCAGATGACATCCACTGGCACGTAGTATATCAGAGCGAATGACAGTAACATCACGCATGCTACCATGAGCTTAGCTGCTTGTGCAAGCCTTTAAAAAAAAGAAAGCCGTAATTAATACACAAAGATTTTAAAATTTTAAGCAGAACCAAAACACATGAATAGGGCTAGAAGCCATCTTGATAAACTTCATTATGTCCCTATTCGTTGATTCAAAAAAAAAATCGTAGAAAATACACACACATACGTTACGTAACAGACGAGCACAGTGGTGAAGTACCACAGTTTCACCTGATCGTAAGTGACTACGACCGTCCATTTACTTTACTTTATTGATAAAAATAAACTTACACTTCATCCTGAGGTAAATTGAGGGTAAGGCTGCCTCTGACGGTCTCCCCAAACTTCAAGTAACCACAGAAACCCACGAAGCCATACATTATGGCTACAATAGCCATGGCTATGTTCAAGACTCCTGAGTAGCCTAGAAAACGATGAGGTTTGGTCATCTCGTTCTCAATAGGCATCACCACACCTATGCCTTCCATGGCGAAGAGACATGTACTGAAATGAAAATATTGCCAATTAGTACATTTTATCTCAATTATAATTCATTTTGCGGTGGAAGCGTAATCCGGTAAAACCGGTCAAGACTTTATCTCTTCCATCAGGTTGTAGTGTCTGTGTAGTGACGGATTAAGAATACGGAATGTCACTACCCCAATTTGAAAAAAAAACATCCCGTGGGTGTCGTAAGAGCCGACTAAGGAAGCAACACACACACTCAGGGCGGCACGAGGCGCAGGAAAGCGCGCCTCCGCCGCCCGGTTCGCGCGCGGCGGATCGGGTCCGAGTGGAGGTCGTCCTCCCGGGCCTTCTCCGCCGCCTCCTTCTGCGAGATTACTTCCTCGCAGAAGGTTGCGACCGCGGTAAAACAACTGTCGCTACCGGCCATGGAGCGTAATACGGCCGGTAGCGAGAGATCCACTCCGATGACTGCAGTGAGGGCCCGGCGCTGCGTCGCCCATGCGGGGCAGACCGCCAGCGTGTGCTGGGCCGAGTCCTCACTGCAGTCGCAGTGGTGGCAGGCGGGACTCAGTTCCCTCCTAGCGACCGAGTGCAGGTACTTTCCGAAGCAACCGTGCCCGGAAAGCACCTGCGTCAGCCGGAAGGTAAGGGTCCCGTGGTGCCGCCCTGCCCACTCGGCGATGACCGGCTGGAGAGCCTCCACGGCGCCAGCCATCGTGGCTCGGCGAGCGGCTTCGCGCCACTCGCGCACGTCTTCGGGCGGAAGGCGAAATCCGCTCTCCGCCCGGGAGTCAGCCACTCGCCGATAAACTTCGGCGAGCACTTCCGCCTCCAAATCCCACGGGGGGGTTCTGGCCAACGCGCACGCCACCTCCGTCGAAACGGTGCGGTAACCGCGTATGGCTCTGACCGCCATTACCCTCTGAGGGCGCCAGAGGCGCCGCCCACACCGGTGCACCGTATAGTGCCATTGACCGGACAACCCCTGTGTAGGGCAGACGCAGCGCCGACCAGATTTGGAGCAAGCTGTCGGCAGTGCTCGTCGAAGAGCCACCTCCCGTCGAGGATCAGGCCCAGATATTTCATCTGGGCCCGAACCGGTACGAGGACCGAGTTGACCACGATTGAGGCGCCAGGGGGTGGACCACGACGGGGCCCATGAAATAACAGAGCCTCCGTCTTATCTAGGGCCACCCGTAAGTCCAGCGCCTCAATGCGCCCGACCACCAGGGAGACTCCCCTTGTGGCCAGGCGCGCCGCCTCTTGGAAGTTCGCCCCCCCGGGCTGTAACCAGAGTATCATCTGCACTAACAAATTGCACCCAGCCCGGGGGGGAAATCGGCTAGAAGGGCCCAGTCGTACCCTATGTTCCACAAGAGGGGTCCAAGAACAGACCCCTGTGGAACACCGCACGACATGGGCCGACACCTCAAATTACCATCTCGGTCCTCGTACACGACGGTACGCTCCTCTAAATAGTCTGCCACTAGCCACCTCAGGTACTTTGGCACCCCATGATAGTGGAGTGCTTCCCTGATGCAGCTGAATGGCAGACTATTGAATGCGTTGGCGATGTCTAATGACACCACCAACAGCACGCCGCCACAGCTCACGGCCTCTTCGGTCACGGCCCTCAGGCGCAAAACAGCGTCGACTGTCGAACGCCCCGCCCGAAAACCAAATTGGGCGTCCGACAGATCGGGGCCCACCTCGTAGAGGTGCCGGACGATGCGGGCAGAGAGAACCCTCTCAAACAATTTACCCGCCTCGTCCAGCAGCACTATGGGCCTGTAGGCCGCGACCGAATCGGCAGGCCGTCCCGGCTTCCTCAATAGGACCAGCTTCCCGCTTTTCCAGCACTCAGGGAAGCGTCCCGACGACAAGCTAGCGTCGAAAACCTCCCCGAGGCGGTCTGCCATGTGGTTGAGGGCTAGGGCTAGCACTCGGGCCGGTACCCCGTCTGGCCCAGGGGCGGTGTTCTTGGAACGGATCCGTAGAACAGCCGCCCCTACCTCCGAATCCCGGACGGGCGGAACATCATCCCCCTCGTGCTCCCCGTCGTCTCCGGCCAAGGAGGCCATCGCCGGGGGAAACTTGACACAAACCCTATACCAACCCGTCTGGCCAGCGTGGTATAGTAGGTTAAAACCTCCTTTCTAAGGAGAGGCCTATGTCCATCAGTGGACTATTAAAAACTGTTGATGTGATGAAGATCAGGTTGTAGGTTCAAATCCCATCCGTTCTACTACCGATGTGAACCTAATTCTACTACAAGCATTTAGCTTAGCTGGAGGGCCAAACAAGAATACTAGTAAATACGTGACATACATTGCTAGTGTTGCTATTTAAAAAACATAGCACCGCCTGCATCTAGAGAGGGGTAAGCATAGAGGACAAGCCGACTGCTGTCAAATAGAAACGTAAGTATAAAAATACTCTTTGTCTAATAAAGTAGCACCTCATAGTAAAATACAATCTATGATTTCGAATATTATCTCGTTAGATTTGGTATTAAAGTCACGTCTACCGTACATTCCACGTCTAGACTTTTAAGCTTAGTCTTAGACCTGTCTCTGTCAAGCCAAGTTACTAGTGCCTAATGGTTTATAAGAACACCTATTTTCTTTCGAAAGTAAACTCTAAGCTAAAGAAAATTATTTGTCTATCCTTCTCGTTTTTAGGGGTTACTTTGTACCAGTGACAACCCGGTGGAAATTTTCACGATACGACATATATGTACCAATATATATATATTAATATATTTTAGTGTAGTCTGCATTTACAGTACCTAAGTATTTCCTTCATTCATTCCTTAGTGTGTGATACTGAATTCGCTTAAATGATGATGCCAGAATGAAGTCATAATTAAAAGGTATGCACAAAACAAAATGAATAACTCTCCATGTAACACACACTTTTTGCACAGCACTTTAAATTGTCTTACTTATTAGGAATCTAATCCTTACAAACGTTAAAAAGACCTGAACTACAAAACCAGTAATCATGAGATTATGAATACACGGTATGTAATGAAAAAGTGCTTTTTACGATTGATAGAAAAAAAAATCTAAACGATCGTCAGTTACCTGCATTACCGTGATGAAAGCTACATCAAAAATATGAGTTTGAATTCGTAATTTTCCTACAATTGTACAGATTTTGTTTATAAAGACTTTGTTTAGACTGCACGGATGGCGTAGTGGTTTAAGCGGTCGCCACGCCGCTTCCTACTACACCGAGAGTTGTGGGTTCAAACCCCACATGGGACGACACTTTGTGTGTACCACTAATTGTTGTTCTGAGTCTGGGTGTTCTTTGTGTCCGTTTCATGTATGTTTGTAAAGTCCCATGCGACACAGGATATATTCCTAATTCGGGAGTTGTCTTTTGTAACATTTTAACATTTTTAACAATTGTACAGATTTTGTTTATAAAGAATGCGGTAAAACAAGTGTGATACTGAAAAATTTACTGACTTAACTTTCAGTATATCCAAATATTCTCTCACCTTATAAAAGTAGGAAGCCCGGTGATAGAAGCGGCAAGATTCCTTTCAGATATCGCTGGCTGATCTTTCAAGCAGTAGTATAATGAGATCGATATAGACACCAACCAGACGACGTTGGCTAGCGCTGAGAATGGCACTAGGTATTTTAATTTGGAGATCTGTGTCAACGGTATAAGTACGATAAGTGTTAAGGCGCAGTATATGGTAACAGACCATGCAGGACCATCATATGCTATTGAAACCTGAAAAACAAAAGAAAGTACACTGAATTAAGCGTTTTGGATGTTGAGATTCATGGTTATTGCACATTTATTTCCTTACAATACATAAAGTTTATACACAATTAGAGGATTCGATCCCGGATCCCGGATCTCGGGATCCCGGGATCCCGGTCATATTTTAGTCCCGAAATGTTCGGGATCGAATTTAATGAATCCCGGGATTTTCGGGATTGATACATTTTTTACATAAGTCAATAAAAAATTGCGTAAAAAGAAACGCACTTGTCTTGATTTGACGTTTTGAAAGCCATCTTGTCTGGCCGGTTCTGGATTATGCGTAAAAGTGTGTAATTTATAAAGTTTCTGGGCAATTTAATTAAAAAATATGAGTAGGTATCTATAAACATTGCAAACATCTCCTAAGCATATAGTTTTTTTTTATAGTTTATCTAAAGAAGTCTAAAGAAGTTTACTTAATTACTAATTTTAAGTAAATTATTTACCGAAACACAAAACAAACTAGGCGCTAGTTTGTTTATTTTATAAGAAGAAAGTATATTTTTGTTTAACCGCCTTTTTGGAGATTAAAAGCTTAAATATTCTTTGTCCTCACAAAACTAAATAATAAAAAAAAAAAATATTTTGATATGTTTTACTGTCTTTTTGTTACCACTTTCCATTGCCAGTACAATCCCGGGGGCTATCCCGGGATCCCGAGATTAACTGTAGATAATCCCGAAATCCCGGGATTATAAAAATCGACCGGGATCGAATCCTCTATACACAATACTATATACCATATTTTTTTTTAAATAAACCACAATTTATTAAACAAGGTTGATGCTTGTCAGATGGTAAGCGTCAGGAACTCATGGCATTGGCAATTCCTTTGATATTATAACAGGTAGTAGTAGTAGTAGTAGCAGTACTCCTAGTAGTCAAACACTCCCAGTGTTTGACAACTTTGTCGCAGATAAAATAATTTTATGGTATTCAAAGCAGAATTAAAGGTAAACTTTTCTTTTTTTTGAGTTTCTTGACCCCTTTTGAAATTACTTTTGTAAAGATTCAAGTATCAAGAACGAGTTTTTAAAGGTTTTAAGATTTGAAGTAATTGAGAGTTGAAGCTCTCAATGTACTTAACAGAGTGAAAGAATACTTTGAATGTAGGCTATTACTTATTTGTAAATGGTTCTTAATGACATAACATGATAGAACACGCTCCTCTTTTAGTGGCAAGCGAGCATACGGGTCACCTGCTGAAAAGTGATTACTGTCGACTATGGACCAACTCTTTTAGTTAGGAGTACGCTCATTTCTTGTAGGTTTGCAGGTGGTCCACCAGTCCGGAAATAAGATAGTCAATAATTAATTATCCAGATTGTTTGTGTGATGCAAGACTTATATTGAAAATCGTACAGTGGAGGCATGCCAGAGTGTCCAAGTGGTGGGGATTGAATTGTTGATGATTACCTAAGCATTACGGGAAAACTTAGTGCCGTAATTAAACTAAAATGCATTCTGAGAATTTTCTTGTAAGTTATAATTTTAATGCAATAATATTAATAATGATAATATTCTACCACATTCATCATCATCATCAACAGCCTTTAATAGTCCACTGCTGGACATAAGCCTCTCCTTAGAAAGGAGGTTTTGGCCTACTATACCACGCTGGCCAGACGGGTTGGTATAGGGTTTGTGTCAAGTTTTCCTTCTCTGTGCAGTGTTGTTGTTCTGCGTAGTTTTTTCCCTTAGTTGACTCTTACAACACCCACGGGATGAATAGGGGTGGTGACAATCTGTATTCTTAATCCGTCACCACACGGACTACCACTACCACATTCACACAACACCATCTAGTCCCAAAATAAAGCAGAGCTTGTAAACAAGCACACAAATGTTTAACTTCAGCGGGAATCGAACCCGCGGCCTTTGGAATAGCAGTCCGTTACACAAACCACTACGCCATCCGGTCGTCGATTTTACTGCAATATTTACTTACTTGTCTAAAAGATTCTGCTATAACTACGGTGTATACACAGCACGCACCCGCGTGTGTAAGGGCCAAAGCCCAATCTGCCAGCTCTCTGGAATAATGGATATTAATTTATAAATTAATTTTCTCCTTTCTCAATTTGGTTCCTCAAACCATATTCAATGTGTACAAAAATAGGTACGTACCTAACAAAAGGTGCAAATTTTCGAATGGGCTTCGGTCCGTGTTGAAATACCAAGTCACAAGTGTCAGCGTATCCCAACGCCGGCCTTTTTAACTCCACGCATAACTGTTGGGATGTTTTTACCTAAAACATAAACATACACATTTTAGGTAAAGTTTCGTTCACTTTAAAAAAATTATAATATCAACTGGGCTGAGTCTGTACCAGTATGGTAACCAGTATTCTAATAGTTCATTTTAGTTCTAAATACAGACATAATAACCGAACTATTTACTAACGGTTATAATCGAACCTATGACCTGGCTATCTTAGCATTCAGGATCACTGACCACTAAACTAATAGCTCATTCAACATCAAACAAATAAGAAACTTGTAAAACAAACCAAGTTTTGTGCCTTAACTAATTCTACGAAATAATGTTCGGCGTCTAAATGAAATCTCTCACTTATTTTTAACTACGCAACATTTTCAACAAATAAGGCATGGTTTATCTTGTCCGCAACAAATTGTTACACTAGGTTATAAGTGGAGTATTATATCATTGTATCAGTGTATTCAATAATAGGCGTACCAAATAAAATCCGTCATTAGTATCGCAATAATTTTAACAACTGGAAAGGAACCTTTCAAATAATCTTGCTTAAATCAATGCCATATTTGCAAGTAAAGATTACAAATCTTCCTTTGTGTAAAAAGTTAGGTACGTTTTATTACGTAACTATATTTTGAACGTATAGAGGCAATAGTTATTGGAAATATAAAAGGCAGTTGGGCGTGAAATTTTATTTCTGTTTTGCAACAAACATTAACGAAATCTATAAGAATTACATAATCACCTCCGCAGTGACACAGAATATACATATATGCAGATAATTATATCCTCCTGCGTATTATAGAAGTAAATTATTATAATTTATGTTATTTTATTAAATAAAACATTAATATGATATGTGCCACTAGAGCATTCAACTCCAACATCGAAGGCTTGTTAGTTAGATTCCCGCCCAGTATAAGTATTAAGCCGCTATAAAAAAGGAAGGTGGTTTTGAATTTTATTCATGTTTATTCCTTGGAACTCTGCCATTTATTCATCAACAGTAATAGTCCACTGCTGGATATAGGCTTCTCCTTAGAGAGCAGGTTTTGGCCTACTATACCACGCCGGCCAGACGGGTTGGTATAGGGTTTGTTTCAAGTTTTCCTTCTTTATGCAGTGCTGTTGTCCTGTTAGATCTCTCAGGGGTGGTGACATTCCTTATTCTTAATCCGTCACCACACGGACAAGGACTGCCATTTATTAAACGATTTGAAATATTCTTCTTTTATTTGGAAATTAATTCTGCCCGTTTGATCTCATTTAAATTTGAAGAAAATTAATTCGGTTAAAAACAACTCAACATAATGTGGTGGCATAGTTACCGCATACTACCGCCGATACTTTTTTTATAAACTAATTATGTATTCATGAATGAATGAATATGAATATTTTTCATTTACTTTATTTTATAAATTTATAATGTATTCATGAATGTCTATTTGCATTGATCTAGGTGTTTTTGTGTATAAATATTATTCCTACAGTCCAAGCACAAGTACAACAAAGAGGGAATTTATTTTTAGTACTGAACAAACCATATCGGCTACCTCAGATTGCAATTACTTAAGCGACTTAATATTTTAGTCGATTCATCAGTTCATGAATATGGAATTCCCAAAATTAAAACTGGCTTTTAATTAAGAGAGTGTTTTCGAATTGTTGTGTTTGTAACTGTGGGCGGTAAAGTAAACAGTGAATGATTTGTGTGCAGTGTATTTGAAACTTAAGGGACATAGCTATCTGCTTCTACATCATTTCTAAAGGTTTTTGCTTCAATATCACAATCATCGTAATCATCTGCGTACCCTATTTCGAAAGATGTATGCTTTTATGAGACCTATAGTTTGGAAACTCTTGTTGGATTATCACCTCATCAACAGTCTTTTATAGTCCACTGCTGGCTATGGGTCTCTTCTTAGAAACTAGGTTTTTGCCTAGTATACCACGCAGGCCAGACGATTTGCGTTTGTGTCAAGTTTGCCTTCTCATTGCAGTGCTGTTGTTCTGCGTAGTTCGCTCCCTTAGTCGTCTCTAACGATAGCCGTGCCATGAATAAGGGTAATAACACTCCGTATTCCTAATCTGTCACCACACGGATAGCTTTAGATACTTATTATGCCTAGCAGAGTTCAGCTTTGATCGTTAAGTGTAATTTGTGAGTTTTTAATTTCCAGTATTTTTTAAAATGAATTGCCACAGCGTTACACCATTTTTTATGACATAGTAGTCAAACGAGCAAACGGGTCACCTGATGGTAAGTAACTAATTGTAATGTAAGTGTAATTAACTACTACTAATTGTACTGTAAGTGTAACTAAGTGGAATGTACCTCAAGAATCGCAAGTGCGGTACCGTCCTTTGAGCCACCCCCCAATTATCAGGGGGAGAAGAGAGTTAGGGGTTGGGCTTCATCAACAGTCTTAAATAGTCGACTGCTGGACATAGGCCTCTCCTTCGAAAGGAAGTTTTGGTATACCGCAGCCCAACCGCCAACTCTCTTCTCACTTCACTCAGTCGGTATCAAGTTAAGAAATAATTGCTTAGCACCCGTTTTCTATGAAACCGGATGTATCACTCTAGTCGAGCCTGCAATTCAGCAACTTGTATTATCCCAGATTATCTTTATATATATAATTCTTCTGTGAGTGTGTATGTCACTGAACTTCTCTCAAACGACTGGACCGATTTTGATGAAATTTTTTGTGTGTGTTCAAGGGGATCTGGGAATGGTTTAGATTCACAATTTTGTCCGCTGGACAATGTTTTTTTAATTAATTTTTAATTTATTAGTAGTTGTTGATTTTGGAATGTTTTACATTAGATCAGACAGACGGCGCTACCATCGCAGTGTCAAATTTGACAGGACAACGTCTGTCGGGTCCGCTAGTATAAATATACATATTCATCATTTTTATATGTGTAACTTTCCTGTCATTTTCTTCCAATCTGTGAGAGTATATATATATATATAGGGGACGGAATTATGTAACAGGAAGCTGTAGAAGCAACGAAATCATTGCTTAGCATCCCTTTTCTATACCGAAACAGCATTCTCCGGCAAATTCAATAAAATATTTGCAACATGTTTTATCTCAGATTACCACACAACCACAACCTTTTGATAAACACTCACACAGAAGCGATAATCTGTGGAAGGTAATTATCTTTCAATATGCCATAACAGCGTTCCATGGCAGCCATTAGAAAGTGTCAGCCAATTATCCGTGACGCTGTCATAACCACCATCAGTGATGGCAATTTAAAAATCATTTAGCTATTATGTAATAGCTTTGGTAAGGTGCAATCCTTCCTTCGACCTTCCTTCAGGTCGAATGTTATGTTTTATAAAGTTGACCATTACAATTTATAATTGGCATTTTATAGCTTTCCATACTATGTTAGGAGTGGATGTGTCGAATCCAATACCAACGTATTGGACTCGACACATCCACTCCTTTTGATATAATTATTGAATTTCTAACACATGTTACTTAAAAAATTAAGAGTTCAAAATTTCAAACTTAAATTAAAAGAGGTACAGAGATGTTTACAAGATGATAATTATATTTACACGGACATCTAACAAAGAACGCCATCTAGTTACAAACTAAGCCTTTACTATAAAAGCTAGATTGATTGAAATGCTCACATTAAATTCAGACTCAATTCAATTTAAGTCCAATACAACTCCCGCATTAGGAATATATCTTGTGTCGCGAGGGACTTTACAAACATACATGAAACGGACACAGAGAACACCCAGACTCAGAACAACAATTTATGGATCACTCAAAGTGACGTTCCATGTGGGGATCGAACTCACAACACCGCTTAAACCACTACGCCATCCGTGCAGTCGATTATATTATATAGTACTTTAACATATAGATGACAATATTTCACCCTGAATAGTTTATCTCACAAGAACTTTAATTATACGTAATACCATATTCACGTAATCATTAAGTTTAATTAGAGATTACGCCACTTAACCGCATTAATGGTTAAACTTACTAATAGAAGGGATTTAGGATTTAAAAGATTAAAACAGAGTACTGAGATTATTATAATTATTATCTGATAAAAACATTATTTATCTGTAGCCTCTAAAATGCAGTAAAAATTATCTTCATAGTTTGTTTTACAAACAAACAATTATAATATAAAAAGTGAACCTAAAATCAGGAAAAATTAAAATGTTCTCACTAATTAAGGATGAATACACAACAATCGACGCTGTTAAAAGAGTAAAAAAACTAAATAAAAAGCTGGTAACAAAGAGTTGGTAAAAATTGGTAAAATATTTGCAGACAGAGGATTGAGAGTCTTCAATTTGACCAAAATAATGTCATAAAAACTTTGTTTCAGTATTTCAATTTCACATAAATATACAAAGAACGAGCGAGTCTCATAGTAGTTACTTTTAATGTACAATTTACATTTCGCTTATAATCTGATGGCTTTAGCACCGCTCGCGTTCATTGGTCAAATCAAATCATTGTTTGCTTCTCCAGCTTCCTGTTACACAACCACTCTTACTTAAAAAGTAATAAAAACTTTGACAGTAAATTCTAAAAATTGCCTCGGCATCGTAGCTTGAGTTAGATGTATGTATATCTAATCTCCGGCGTATAAAGAAGAAGTGTAATAGGCTTAGCGTGTGTATGAGATTTACCTCTATATGTATATATATGTACCTATAGCGTCCTAGGATGGACCGATTTTGATTTTGTTCTTTTTTTGTTCCAAAGGTGACTTGATAGTGAGTATTAAAGATACCAGTGCTGTAACATTCAAAATTTATTCAGCCTTAAAGGGGGTTCAAAGTTGGTAGTATCTTCAATTTTTTTAAATTAGTATTTGTTGAGATTACTATCGACAAAAAATTGCATCGGTGAGAAATTTCTTGTACATTTTCTTGTATATTTTCATTGTTTAATCTTTAAAGAGGTTTTTGGATCGTACCCGGCCGTATTCTATTGTCACTTTGAATTTGTATATACAACCTTATTTTGATATGTGATTAACAGTGAAGGCTCGGAAGAAAAAAAAACAGTGGCACGCCGGGAGTGCCAACAAAAGTGAAAACTTATATCCAAATATACAGAGGTGTCGGTAACAGTTACAGTGTCGCGAGTTCAATTGTTTTTTTCAAATCTCAAAAAATGCCCAACGCACCTAAAGAGGTGTCACTTGTTCACTTCAACAGAGGTGTCGGTAACGGTAACAGTAGCTTTCTTTTGTTTGTTGTTCTGTTGTCTAAAGAAGTTTTCACTTCAAAAATCCTGACTCTGGGTAGGAGACGACGACGACGACGACGAAAGGGGTGGCAATTACTGTTGTGTTACAGGTGTCCATGGGCAGCCGTAGTCCCATAAGCTGACCCGTATACTCGTTTGCTCCCTTATACCATAAACAAGGTAAAACACGCATTATATTGACCCCTAATAAAATTGAGAAAATAGCAGAAAGTTAATGATGACAGACATTGGTTCTGCGGCTAACTCAAGAATTTTAATATTTATAAATGCTGTTTAAAATAACTGCGGAAATGTTATCATAGCAAGTGACTAGAATGTCTTGACGGATGTAATTTATTACCTCCTATTATAATTATCTTATGACGGTAACAGATTGCGTGGTGAAGGTGATACTATGCGTACCTTTGTCGTCACGTTTACTAATTTAATTTTGTTGTTGAATATCGCACAGACTTAAAATTATTTATTTAATAGCTGCCCTGCTAGACTTCGTTCTGTTAAAACTTATTCGCCTGTCCAATAGAAGGAATAAATAAGTAAAACGTATTTAAGAGTGATTTCTTTTCTTTGAACATTATTTTGGGCAGGCATAGATTACAGCACTATCAATTTGAAGGCATATCAAAGATAATCCTAACGCGGCTTTGTTCTATTTTGGTTGACGTCAAATGTTTGACATCAGGAGCATCAGCTAGATGTTCAGATACATGTTTTAATCTACTCTGGATAGTATGAAAAAAGAAATGTGTTGTTTTTACGTTTTTCACTCCTTAAGAATCCGTGTGATCACCACATGATGGATTGGATTGAGTGGATTAAGAATACAGTGTCACCACCCTTATTCAACCGTGGGTGTAAGAGCCGACTAAGGGAGCAAAACTACGCAGGACAACAGCACTGCAAAGAGAAGGAAGACTTGACACAAACCCTATACCAACCCGTGGCCACGCTGGTGTAGTAGGCCAAAATCTCCTTTCTAAGTAGAGGCCTTTGTCCAGCAGAGGACTTTTAAAGGCTGTTGATGATGATGATGAAGAATCCTCCTTGCGCCTTAACAAAAATATGTTAAAAAATAGCCGCATTGGTCGAACCGTTCTCGATTTTTGCGCTCTAGCAGTACATCGGTGAAGTTTACTTAGGCTTACAAAATTTATTTTTTGTTAGTATTTTTTTTACGTTTTTAAAATCATAATAAGTAATAAAAACTTTTTAATTTTCAGAAGTAAGAAATAATTATAGTTTTGGATATTTTTATTATATTATTTATTTTTTTAGGTTTTAAGTTCCGTGTTATTAAAGTAAATAAATAAGACAAAAGGAGTTTCTTCGACTGCCTTTTCTCTCCGTCATCAGATCACCTACAGGTCTCCGTCATTTTGTGTTGTCATTAGAACTTTACGTTAATGCAAACGCACAAAAGAATCGGTTTACAAATGAAAAATACACTCAGATTGCTTTTTTTTAAATCAAACCAAATGTGTAAATAAAAATGTAACAATTTTGTACACCTTCTTTCGGCAAATAAATAAATTATGAAATCATAAATTTATAATTTATTTCATTTATTTCAATGGAGTCATTAATCCTGTTTGTTGAGGAATTTAAAATTTAAATAGAAACATCTTCGAACTACTTTGCATATAAATCAATTCTTTAAAAAGTCATAATTGGACATAAAGTTACGAGTAGTCAAACATAAAAAAGTATAGATGAATATTTGCATTGTTTTAAATCCTTATTTTATTTTTACGTCATTATTCTTCTGCGGAAGGAAATATAATTAATTGTTGTTAATTGCATTAAGATATTGAATAATTTACCTAAAGCACGTGGCATGATGATAAATATTTAAACATTTTTAGGTTCCAGACTTCATTTAATTTTTGAATAAAATTGTGTTGCGAATAATCGAGAAAAAGAGTCGAGAAGAAAGAGAACGATGTATTACAGTCATATACGATGCCATATTATATACGATTCCATTTTGGGGCCTATTGGTCTAGTGGTTAGTGGCCCTGACTGCTAAACCGGAGGTCGTGGGTTCGATTCCCACGCAGAAAACCTAATTGTGTGATGAGCCGTTTGTTCTGTGACTGCGTGTAATTTATCTATAATATGTATGTATTTAGAAATATATAAGGTATGTTTATCAGCAGTCTGGTTACCATAGCACAGGCTCTGCCTAGTTTGGGATCAGACTGCCGTGTGTGAGATGTGAGAGGTTATTATTAAGGTAAAAATATGCGGGTTAGCTAGAGAGCCTCAATGATTGTTCCGTAAGAATACGAGTAGTGGTGGTCATTAGCAGATTGTCTTCAGAAGCTAAATGGGCAAAAACCTAATACTAATATTCATAAATACACAAGTAAAATCATTTTTTTCTAAAAGCTTACTAAGAGACCTATTATAATAATAATAACATTAAAGATCAGAGATCAAAAAGTCTTATAACACGAATTGTATGATCTAAAACACTATCGTCTTAAATTAAGACGCTGTATGAGCATTCGTATTCATAGACTGCCAGAAAAGCTTACGTTAAAATGTACACGAATTCTTATGACAGAATTCCTTATTTGGTAAACATACTAAATTAAACATAATCATTGACTGAAAATATATGTAGGCATCTGTTGATATGTTCGGCTTACTAATTTGAAACAAACTCACCAATACATGGATGACATGACAGCAAATTAATCCAATAAACAGGGTGCCCACGCTACCGACTACCAGACCGGCATTCTTGAAGGCATGTGGCATCGCCAACACACCGGAGCCAAGTGACGCCTTAAGAAGATGAGCCAGAGCCCCGAAAGTCCTGAAAATAAAATAAAATAAAATAAAATAAAATAAAATAAAATAAAATAAAATAAAATAAAATAAAATAAAATAAAATAAAATAAAATAAAATAAAATAAAATAAAATAATATAAAATAAAATAAAATAAAAAATAAAATAAAAAATTGAGTCTTATTTACTATGAAAATAAATCACCGTCTTTAATGCACTTAAATAATTATAAAGTTTGAAGTATTTTCTCAAGATTTATTGTATTTTAGAATTTTGTTGTTCGAAAACTCTCTAAACTAAACTAAAAATCACTAAAAAAAATTTGTCCTGTCAAATATTACGTTTTCAGAATAGGAAACCTTGTTTGACAGAACTTAACAATTTTTTTGTGACTTTTAGTTTAGATTAGAGAGTTTTCGAACAACACAATCAGCACCAACATTAGTTATAATAAACGCAATTACATAATTGATTACTAAAATTTGTTTACAAATTGCGAAACATTTAACATACACAAAGAAATCAGTCGAATCTTTCTTCTTTATTGTAATCGGTCATCATTATCATCAACAGCCTTTAATAGTCCACTGCTGGACATAGGACCTCCTAGGAGATGTAGGCCTACGTGTGGCGGACGGGTTGATATAGGGTTTGTTTAAAGTTTTAATTCTCTTTGCATTGCTGTTGTCCTGCCTAGTTAGGTCTCTTACGACACTTACGGAATGAATAGGGGTTGTGGTTACACACTTCTATTCTTAATCCGTCAGAATACAGTGTCACTACCCCTATTCATCCCACGCGTGTCGTAAGAGCCGACTAAGGGAGAAAACTACGCAGAACACAGCATGGCAGAGAGAAAGAAAACTTGACGCAAACCTTATGCTAACCCGTCTGGCCAGCGTGGTATAGTAGGCCAAAACCCCCTTTCTAAGGACAGGCTTATGTCCAGCAGTAGACTATTAAAGGCTGTTGATGATTCTGGTCCGTGTGGTGACGGATTAAGAATACAGAGTGTCACCACCCCTATTCATCCCGTGGGTGTCGTAAGAGCCGACTAAGGGAAAAAACTAAGCAGGACAACAGCACTGCAGAGAGAAGGAAAACTTGACACAAACCATTTACCAACCCGTCTGGCCAGCGTGGTATAGTAGGCCAAAACCTCCTTTCTCAGGAGAGGCTTATGTCCAGCAGTGGACTATTATAGGCTGTTGATGATGATGATGATGATGATTCTTAATCCGTCACTACTCGGATAGTATTTCAGATAAGAGAACGGATAAGAAAAGGCGTGTAAGTTATTCCAAAAATTCGATACACTTTTAATGACAAGAGAACATCAAACATAGAGCTGTATGTCGAGCTTTCTTCTAGAATTTATCAATAACCCTTTTCTGATTATAATATCAGAGTAGGCAAAACTCCTATCGTGTGTATGTAACCAAGTGGTTTAGCATTTTAGGACAGCAATAAGGTTCATATCTCATCTGAATTACGTAATAATACGTAATGTCTAGGTACCCAGACTTTCTTCCTTAACTCTATGTTAAAATAAAGTACATTATAGCACTTTACTCTATCGACTAGCACGGGTCATTGGGTCTAATGGAAAAGGGTAATATATTCTATTAGATAATCGTACACGAAAACAGCCTTTGTCGTCATTGTCCAATCTATAAACGTAGGTAATAGTAATCTTTAACGATAGACGCGTTTGTGAAGGATGAATTTTCTTAATCACTTACTTTCTTAATTACTTCCTTTTAATGGACCGTATAAACTAGAAGGATTAACATTTTGATGACGTAATATTAATTTTAAAGCTTCTTTAGCTTGTTCTGATTAATATTCGTAATTCAATTAAAAGAATTTCAGTCATACAAACAATATGAAATATTCTACCAAATTCACACAACGCCATCTAGTCCCAAACTAAGCAGAGCTTGTACTATGAGTACTAAACAACTGAAATGTTCTTCTTTTTTGTTCTTTTAAAAATTACAACTCCTGCATTAGGAATAAGTATATCCTGTGTCGCGGAGGACTTTACAAACATACGTGCAACGGACACAAAGAACACCCAGACTCAGAACAACAATTTGTCTATCACATAAAGTGTAGTCCACTGTGGGTATCGGACCCACAGCACTTAGTAGCACTATCACAATAATAGTCCACTGCTGGACATAGGCTTCTCCTTAGAAAGGAGGTTTTGGCCTAATATACCACGTTGGCCAGACGGGTTAGTATAGGGTTTTTTTCAATTATTTCTTCTCTTTGCAGTCGTCGGCTCTTACGACACCCGCGGGATGTATAGGGGTGGTGACACTCCGTATTCTTAATCCGTCACCACACGGATTTATCTGTAATATGTATGTATCAAGTAATATATAATAATTATGTTTATAGGTATATTTGATTACCATAGTACAGGGTCTGCCTAGTTTGGGATCAGACGGTCGAAGTGAAAAATTCACTGTAGTAAACAAACAAGCCACGCTCTACATTGTTAAACAAAACCCTGAACACTTATAAATGTGTTAAAACAATGAAGGTTGGAACAAAACAAAAGAAATAAAATTAAATAATAATTAATTAGTTACCTAGTTATAATAATTTTGTGCATTGGCAGTCCAAGGTTGTGGCCTCTGTTTAGGTAAAACTTTGCTGTAGTTGCCTAAAAGAAGGCAACTAGGCCTGCCTTTTCAAATTAGTATACGCTCAGATTCATTTGTTTCTTTTCATTGCCTTCCGTGCTAACTTATGGGAAGTTAGCACGGAAGGCAACGGCAATCCTTTTAACGTATTGTCTATTGTACCATGTCTTATACCAAATATTACAGGTTACCAGCAATAGTTTGTTGCCACTTTTATTTAATACAGACTCAAATACAGTTGATGTGGATATTTTGTACGCCTAAATCTATCTCTTCGGATGTTTTGGCGTGACTATCCTAATCCATACTATAAAGTAAAGTAAAGTTTGTTTGATTGAGGAAATATTGGTCAGATTTGAATAATTCTTAGAGTGTTAGATAGCCCATTAATCGAGGAAGGCTATAGGCTATATACCATCACGCTACGATCAATAGGAGCGGAGTAACAACAAAAAATATTGCAAAAACGGTTAAAAATTATTCCTTTTGAGAGCTTCCGTTGCGTGCGATGAGTAAACGGTTTCGCAAAAATCATGTATGACAGAATTGTTCAATTTTAAAAGTTCTATAAAAGTCCGCGACAGCATATGACTATCTTTTGAGGATGGCTCGCTATAACCTTTTTACGATAATCAAATTTGTTCTAAAATATTGCATTATTTGCGTTGGTGTTTTTATAAACATAATATTAATATTTTTCTAAGTAAATACAATCATAGGCTACTTTGAACCCTCTCGCTCGATAGCCTGATTGCGGCTATCGTGCGGAGCGAGAGTGCGTGGAACTCTGCCGTCTCCTTCTGCGAGCAAGTTATGCTCGCGAAGGAGACGGCGGAGCGGGACGGCGGGCGGAGCGGGAGAGGTTTAGAACTCTCCCGGCCCGCCAGGCCCGGGAACGGGCTAGGTACCGCAGGCGACACAGGCGCCGGAGGTCGCAGAACGACCTCCGTCCTCCATAAGCGCAGGCCTGGGGGTGCGGTTTTAGTCGGTTCGAGTCCGACATGCCACCGACAGGTGGTATCCGAGGGGATTTCCGCACGGAAAAAAAAAAAGGCTACTTTGAACCGCGATAACCTATTTACACGCGGGTGGAGCCGCGGGGAAAAGCTTGTCTATTTATAAGTATTCAAATAAAATTACTTGCCCCGACTGACGGATTGCGCCATCAAGGCAGACCCTACACCACCTGGTTAGTGACCCTGACTGCTAAGCCAGAGGTCGTGGGTTCGATTCCCACCCAGGTCAAATAATTGTGTGATGAGCACTATGATTTATTCTGTGTCTGGGTGTAATTTATCTAAAATATATATATATATATATATTTAGTAATGCATTTATATGTTTATCAGCAGTCTGGTTACCATAGCACAGCATTTGGGCTGTGTACACATAAGCCTATTCCTTTGCTAACTAGGGAGCTATATGACCTATTTAAAGTCCCTATAGTCAGACACTCATGCTTGCTGAGCCCCATACTGCGCAAGCATGCAGAATTGCCATTTGACGCGGTATCTATTTCCCAGGCACGGAGGTCAGAGAGAGTGTGCCATATTGCCAGTATTGAAATGGCCAGGTTTGTGGTCCTTAAGCATCAATATCATTTTATAAGCCGTGTTATATATAACCGAGTAAATAAAATACTGTATGTCAATCCAGTTACGCTTAAAACTTGCAAGTTAGTTACTATGTTAGAACTATGAAGAATTTGAAGTTATGGCTAAACCACAAAATTGTAAATAGAAATTTCCTCCAAAATTCTCCACCCTCACAGTAACACACACACAGACACACATCACACAAAACAAACACACATACTAAACACACACGCACACATAACACATGCACACACACTAACAATTCTGATTTAGTATAGTTTGTTTTGTTAATTCTGTATGGTTATTGATGGAACTCTGACGGCCTCAGGGCGGAGGTGGCGTTAATGTCTGCGACACGGTTCTTTTAACTAATGCAAAAAAAATCTCATAAAATGTTACTGTTTATTTTGTTTTAGTTTCCAATAAAGCTTTTATTATTATTATATCCTTTAACTCTAGTCGCCTTTAATGCTAGTCAATGCGAACCTATCACGGACTTACGCCAAGTGGGTTGGTTCGTTAGCAATTACTGCGGGTGTTTGTGTAATGCAAGTAAGGAATCGTCGAACAATGGAATATGTGTCGATTATAACAGATCTTTGCAATGAAATGTATGAATTTTTATGAATTCCTATTTCTTTAAGTGAGGTGTGTAATGATTTCGGAATGAGGCCTGTTGATGAGATAACGATTGATATGATTTCAACCGCATGTTGATGCCCCATCTGTCGGATTTTATCTGCAAGGGGTATGTACTTTTGTATCTTCTCTGTGTATTTTTTATTTATGTTCTCTGTATTTGGGATCGAAATATCTATTAAATATGTATTTTTTTAATTTAGTATAAATGTTTTACCTTCAAATTTGTGAACAGACCTTGCATTAATATAGCTAATATTAGTGGAACTTCAATAGTTATACCAGCTAACAATCATTTATATAAATAAAATCCGAGTAATTAACGTGTTTTAATGATAACTTTAAAAATGTATAATTTACTTTTGGTAAATTGAAATTCTGAATGCCCTAATATAATTGAATTGTTAGGCAAAGGTTAAATCATGGAGGTCAATTTGACGTACGTTCAGTCTTTATTCTTTTTAAACTATTAATAAATTTTATATGTAGGTATTTGATTGCAATAATGAGTGAAACAAAGAGTATTAAAGACTTATATATGTGTGAAACATAAATTAAACGGAGCGTTGTTAAGCGCAAAACTCGAGAGGCTCGACCAATTCGGCAATTTTTTTTTTCATATTTTCGTTAAGGTACAAGAAAGGTTCTTATTGAGAGAAACCAAAAAAAAATTGCGGGAAAAATCAACACTTTTCTTTTGCCATACAATCCATAGAGTAACTTCAAACATCTGTCCCTAGCTGTCAAATATTTGACGTCAATCGAAACAAAACAAAGGCGCGTTAGAATTATCTTTGGTATGCCTTCAAATTGATTAGGCTATAGAAATATTACTCTATGCCTGCTCAAAGTAAAGTTTGAAAGTGATTACTCTGAAATACGTTTTATTTATTTATTTATTCTATTAGAGTGTGATAACTTAAAGCGATAAAATCTTTTTTGACAGATCGAAGTCTGTCGGGCAGTTATTAAAGTCCATGAATGTGAAGGAATTTTTGTCAATATAAATTTATTAATAGTGTATTCGATAGGTTACTTTCACCATAAATTTAGCTAAATGTAATATTTTGCAATAATCCACTTAAATATGATTTATTGTTCTAACACTAAACCCTATACTGCAATAAGTTTTACGCAAAAGAAATAAAATTTCGTACTACAATATTATAAGACGTTGTGTTTATCACTAAATCATCACTTACACCTTATTGTTCAAACGTCATCATTAGGACATTTCTATTATATTATTTTATCTGATACTGTCACTGTCATATAAATATTTTTAAGAAATTTATTTAAAATTTCAATGTTATGTATGAAAACTTCACTTATAACACTTATACTTCACAATGGAATAAAAATGTATAAATAATATTTGATTATAACTCACGATGTATTTGAGCCGACTGGTCTGTGGTCTGCTGGCACATAGGGATCCAAATCTTCTCTTGACCCATTGTATGCTAGCTCGATTCTGAAATAAATAAAAATAAATTAAAATAAATATAAAATAAGATTTTTCATATGTTTGTATCTCATAGTTTCGTGGTACCTCGTCGCATTATCTGGCACTAGGCTGTAAGAATAAACCAGCATCTTAAAACATCACCTTTCGCACAAATGTAATTTTATATACTTTCGGTATATAAAGCTAGTTTTCAATGCCACTTCATTCTAATTTAATAAATAAATGTACATTAACGCGTGTTGCCGATACTAATTGTTAAAAATATATAACATTTTAAAATGGTTTTTTTTGAACTGAGGAACACGGAATGTTATAAATGCTTCTGTATATAATTTCCGTATTTTATTATGGTTATCAGATTTCAGTAATTTATACAATTTACTGAAATAATTGCATCGTAGTTCCGTTGATCGCAATCATTTGGAGGCTTCATAATTTCCTTTAAAATTCTACTTTTGTTTTATGATGTCAAGACTTTTAGTATTATTATTTCTTTTTATTCTTGTTTTGATATGCCCATTCCATTATTCGAATTACGTATATTTATGAAATATTTATTCCAGGGCTACCGGACTCCTCACTCAGGAATTTCTACACAGTATAGTGGTACCCACAAATTGACTGTTACTTCCAACATTTAACTCCACTTTTTGTGTAAACTAACAGAAGGAAAGAAAAAAAAAGATTTTTTTGGCACACAATTAAATTAAAAACACCTTAATTTTCACAAGAAACGAATGAAAAATAGCAAAAAATAAGAACATGATAATGTAGACTAATAACTTAAAAATATAAATGAATTGGGAGTTCATTCTTTCAACAGAAGCAAAACCAAAACATCTACAACACCGGTAATAAACTTTAAGCTCTAGATTAATGTCAAATGTATTGGCGTAACTAACTAACTTCAAATAAAGTAAATGTAAAGAATATATGTATATAAAGATAATTTTTGATTTAATCTCTAAATAAAAGTTACTCACTAATAAGTTACATTAACATGTATGAAATGGATTTGAAATGTTTACATCTGTAATGTGTAACTTAAGATTAAAAAATACATTAAAAAAGTTAAAAATAAAGAAAATACGCGGATTGATTATTTAAAAATTGAGACAAATACCATTATTTCGTTCCGATAATAAAATAATTGCTCTCCTATTTTCTAAGATTAATAGATATATTTTAGTATCATTTTTCCAGTTTATAGTCAGTTATTTGAATCAGGTCCAAATAATCATAAGACGCTTTTGTAAATACTGTTAAAATAGTTTGTCAAGCGTTTCTTGATAAGGTCGTTGGTCTTCGACAAGTCACGGACACGGATAAGGACGAACTCAAAATGAAATATCGTTATCACTTTTGCTTTCCCGCCCGTTTTGTTACAGGTATTTACCGTAATTATTTATAAAAACATTTAAGTTAAAATTCATAAAAATTACCATACATCATTAAAGCCGCCCTGAAGCACTTTGGTGTCTTACTCCGTCTTCTTTCCTCCATTTTGTCCCCTCAAATAAAGACAACATTTTTATATATTAGTCTGTAATATATTGACAGGGCTTATGCTGTGTTAACCTCAATTACTGCGGTGTGTGAAATTCTTATTGACTATTGCATCATTCAATGAAAATCGGGACCATTTATTGATAGGGTTATTTGATTACATGCAGCAGTTGAACACTTTCAATTAATGCGTACCAGACTCAAATGGTCTAAGGTTAATGTGTGACAATGAGTCTAGTCTGTTTGTAAACAAAGCTGAAGTTTAATGGTCTTTGAAGGCTACAAGAAATTACAAATTTGACCACAAGTTTTATTAATAGACATGGTATGTTACTTGTCTGTAAAATTGATTCAAAAGTTGTATATCAGAGATCGTGGCATTTCCTTCATGGATTTCAGTCCTATATTTAGTGAATTTACTAGCTGTTTAGTAGGTTCGTGTTCACCTAGTAGAGGTGTAGTAGGTATTGAGGATGTGCCGACCTCACTGTTAAGGAGCACGTCTTAGGTTATTGTAAGACCTGGCCTAGGGTATTGTTAGATTCTATCTTTTACCAAACCCTGGCGCGTCCCCGAGTGAGTTCCATCCGAGTAATTATGTAGTTACCACGTGTACCGCAATAGCATTTCGAAGTCACGCCAGAGCGATGGGATTCAATAACTGTTTTCTTTTGTCGTTTTACTCAACGCGCGTAGTACTCACTGTTGTGATAATTTGAATTAAATAGCCAATATTCAGGTGTCTGTGTGTTTCTCGGCAATTTTTTTTTTATAACAATATTCTACCACATTCACACAGCGCCATCTACTTCCAAACTAAGTAAAGCTTGTACTATGGCTATTAGACAACTGATTTAAATACATACATACCTTTTTTTGTAAATGCATACTTATTATGCATAGAAACACCCAGACCAAACCAAACATTAAATGTTCATGCACACAAATGTTGGACTTGAGCGGGAATCAAGCCCGCGACCTTTGGTATAGCAGTTCGTTACACAAACCACTATGCCATTCGGTCGTCACTACGTCATTCACAACCCCGCATCTCACTTACACTCACAATTGTGTAAGACCGACAACCGGTAACCGACCTGATAAGCAAATCGAAGTTCAACCATATCATAGTAGTAATAAAGCCGACCCCAACCCAGTTTGGGAAAAGAAGAAGAGAAAGAAGAAGTACAAATTCAGAATAATTTGGGATCGGACTGCCGTGTGGAAGAAATCAATTACTTACGATACGATACTTAATATCAATTGGCAAGATTGTGCAAAACCTAATAGTATAGATGGCGCCACCTATTTAAAAAATATTGACTTACTAGGTTTTTTCCTGACGATAAGGTATTTTGCCGCTGTAAAAAGTAGCATATGTGTTATTCTAGGTTATATTCTATTTTTGTACTAAATCTTATTCGAATCTGTCCAGACGTTTTAGCGTGAAGACGCAACAAACATACACACACACAAACTTTCGTATTCACAATATTAGTGAGATTAGTCCGTAGCTAAATAAAATATAACCTTTCCGCAGTCGGGTAAAAAAGAAAGTTAATACCCATAAATATTATTGCAAGGCTTCTCTGTAAACTATATTTGATGTACTAATCGTTTGAAGCAAAACAAATTGATTTTCCGTAGATCCCACTCGAGACAGGCTAACGTATAGTAGTCCATGGGAGAAGCACACTTTTCTAAAGTCAGTGCCGACCAATGAAAATTTTTGTCCCTTTGACTTACTAGTGCAAATGATACTTTAACCGGGAACTGAAGCCTCTTTACAAATTCTTTCCATCTGTTCGCGAACGGTTGTCGAGGACATGGCTTGAGGTGGATCACTGTGTCGCTCAATTTCTTACGGGTCATAGTAACTTTAAGAGCAAGTTGTATTCATTTAAATTAGTCGAGTCACCATTGTGTCAATGCTCAACACCTAACTCTCACTATGAACAATCTGCTCATCATATCCTCTGGGAATGTAGTCTTTGGTATAATGAACGTAATATAATGCTGAATAGCTTGCAGGTGACATCTGGGGCGGTATACTATGGGGATCTTGTGTCAACTAGGGTGAATTTCCGTGCGTTTAGGCGATTCTGCCATACATATTATAGAAATCAAATAGAGCTCACGTAGGACCCGTAATATTTTGTGGCCGTGGCTTCCCTGTTTAAAAGGGTGTATGCCTATTTTACTTCATTTTGTCTCCCGCTTTGCTAAGGAGGGAAGTGGATTTACTGTATTTCCAACTCCTCCAATTTTCTTCTGATTAATTTCGTTGCGGGTTCCAAGATAGTTTAATTTCTTCCTGGGACTTCCCGAGTGTCATAACTCGGTGTGTTCGTGGGTCACTGCTGTGGATCCTGGCGTACAGGAGTTACAGTGGTGGGCGTGTGGGTGGGATTAGTCCCATTAAAAAAAAAAAAACTGAAGCCTCTTAAATGATATGGGCAAATCCATCTGTATCATTGGAATACGCGGAATGTTTGCGTGCTGTCCGGCTGCGGGCCCGGTGATGATAGCGGCTACAAAGACATTGTCTCGAAGTTCTTTAATTAAAACTCTTGTCCCATTACATAGATTTGGAGGGTATAAATTTCTTAATATCATTACGGAGATTCTAGATTTAAACTTCAGCACGTGTGGCAGCAGACCAGGTGGATTTAAAGAGTTTAAAAATTCTTAAGGGTAATGTACAGTGTCTTCGGACTTGTAGCATTAATAATAATAATAATAATATTTCATCATCATTAATCATTTTCAGCAAGTTTTAGTCCATTATAGGTATATTTTCGATTTCGGGATAAACAGCATTAATAAGATGTTCTAAGCTGTGAACAATTTTACGTAATCCGTTATCTAATACTTCTTGTTGGCAGTTTACATCTGTAGATGGAAATTTTCCTTCTCCAAGTTTAAGAAACTTTTCTGGAAAATGACTGTCATAAAGTTTAGATATGCTCTCATATTGGTGCGCAAATTGAACGTTTCCAATGAATTCCATATAACAGACGATTTAAGGCAAGCCTTTACGATATCGGGACGTGTTCCCTTGGCGATAACAGGTAGTGTTTGCCTAAAACCTCCAAACATAGACAAAACTAACCCTTCCCATCACAGTACTTGGGTTACGAAGGTCTTTTAATGTCCGTTCTACATTGTTCTAAATTACATACGTTCTGAATGTGCCATGAGCCCTAAGGTTCATTGCACATTCATCCCATGTTATGAGGCACCTATTTTGTAATAGGATTTCCAAAGGACCGGTTTTTTGAATTGAGCATACAGATTGTTGCTCTAAAGGCACAGTTAAAGGCAATTTAAAGCAACGCCCTCTCTAAAGAGAAAGGAACATGGCGGCGCGCGCAATCGGTTCGTGTATCATCATCATCATCAGCCTATCGCAGTCCACTGCTGGACATAGACCTCTACCATTGCACGCTACTTAGATTGATTTTAGGCTTCTCGCATCCAGCTCCTGCCAGACACCTTGCGCAAATCATCACTCCACCTGGCCTGTGGGCGTGCTACACTTCTTGTATAGCATTTTTATAGTCATGATAACTTTAAAAATTAATGTTAATAATTGAATGATATCTGCTTAACGAATTGACCA